TATACATATATACATTAACATATACATATATACACATACATATATACATATACATATATATATATATATATATATATATATATACATATATATGCCATCAGCCACTCCGCTCTCTAGATACAAGCATTGAGACCACAGACCCATCACTGTCTGTTGCGTCACCACTGACCTGGGAAGATACTGTTAAGGATCTGAAGCTTATTGGAGTATTTCCTCCAGAGGCGGAGCACATAATCCTCCCAGCGAATCATCTTCCCCAGAATTAGCATAACTGGGATGGTGGGCAGGCCAATCAACAAGAAGAGAGGATCGGCCCGTTCCATCACATCCAGACCTTCCTTATGACCCACAACCTAAAAGAGACAGAGATAGACAGATTCGTAAGAATCAAATAATGCCTGTGAAATCATTTCAGCTGTGAGTGACGTCTCACCTGCATGACGGTCACGGCGCCGTATGTGACAGCCGTCCAGTAAATAGATCCCACCATGATACCAGCAGCAGCAAATGGACAGGCCTTCGAGATCAACCTGTCTGCCAGATCCAGCACAAACACCACCGGCCCTGCACACAAAAACACACTGACTTTAACATATAGTTCGAGGCTAAAATGGGTTTTTAACTGCCGATGACAATATTTTGAAAGTCATGGCCTATATAATGCTGAGAGATATGGTGTACTGATAACAGGATGTACACAAAATTGATGAATTTGAAGTGACGAAAGTGACGTGACGTGGCCAAGTATGGTGACCCATACTTGGAATTAGTGCTCTGCATTTAACCCATCCAAAGTGCACACACACAGCAGTGAACACACACACACCGGGAACACACACACCGGGAACACACACCCGGAGCAGTGGGCAGCCATTTATGCTGCGGCGCCCGGGGAGCAGTTGGGGGTTCGGTGCCTTGCTCAAGGGCACCTCAGTCGTGGTATTGAAGGTGGGAGAGAGCGCTGTACATTCACTCTCCCTACCTCCAATCCCTGCCGGTACGAGACTCGAACCTGCAACCTTTGGATTACGAGTCCGACTCTGTAACCATTAGGCCACGACTTGTAAATGAACACTTTCTTCAAACAATATTTTCACAGAATTATGTTGACATACCAAACAATTAGAGCATAATGCCAATGATCTCAAAATAACTACGAATAGCAAGGATGCATTAAAATGATGGAAAAATGGACAAAAACGACATTACACATTACAAAATCATATTTAAACGATGTTCTTTTGAACTTTCTATTAATGAAAAAAACCTGAGAAAACAATTATCACGTTTCCTATAATATTAAGCAGCACAACTCATTTCAACATTGATAATAAGAAATGTTTCTTGAGCACCAAATCAGCATATTAGAATGATTTCTGAAGGATCATGTGACATATATCAATATATATTCAACAGTTATTTTAAATTGTAATAATATTTCACAATAATTACTGTTCTTACTGTATTTCTGATCAAATAAATGCAGCCTTGCTGAGCAAGAAACTTCTTTGAAAAACATTTTTTTTAAATCTTACCAACCCCAAACTTTGGAAATGTTGTGCATCTTTACAGGAAACTGTAAAAGGCTCTATATTGCCATGCATATCATCATGCAGACATTTAAGAAACAATATCACAAAACAAGAGGGAGATTAAATAATAAAAACTAAGTGATGCTGAGGTCTGAATCATGTGACCATCATGTCTCTGGTTTCCCCCCTCTCCAGCAGGGGGCAGAAGATGATATTATGATACATTGTGTTGGGAATCAACAGGCCTTCAAATGCTCTCTTCTCACTATATATGATTATTTATCCCAATTTGAGACGTCACAGCACTGCGAGCACACCAGCTACCGCAGATCATCCAGTTGAATTCACTATGTGTTCATCGTGACACGCCGCAAGGTTTATGGGAGTGATAAGCACTTTATTGTCCCATGTGTGACCAATGATGACTATATCCTAGATGACTCCGGAATAAAGTTTCACTGCAAAGCACAAAGTGAAACAGTCCTAAAAAGGAATATTTACTGACCTGCTTTCCTCTCAACCTATAAATACCCTCCACTGCAGGAGATCTCTAGGACGACTCTCTGGATTTTCACATTCATTCTCTGGTGAATCAGGACTTTATTTTAACTCAGTTTCCAGATACATCAAACTCCATTACTGTATATGGAACCACAGCTTTATCCACTACAGAACTTAAAAGAATAGAAGTTTAACACAAAAAATCATTTCAGATTAATATCTACTGAGCATATAAATTAGATATAAGCTTACGGTCATTACTTCAAAACCAAAGAATACACAATTGTCCTAAAATATACAAATTCATCTCTCCACCAAAAAGTTACTGTATAGGTTGTGAAAAGTTTCTGTGTAAATTAACCTTCAGCACACATTAATTCAGCTCTCAAATGCAGAGCAGACACTCTTCAGGTGTGTGCGTGCGTGTGTGTGTGCGCAGCAGGATCACTGACCCCTCTCGAGAATATTAATATGGAATATTCTGATGACAGCGCTGGAATCTGGTTCACGTTCTCTCTAGCACTGCAACATCAACCTAATGGCTACTGGCAACAGGAATCGCTCGGGCATTTCTGCTGCCGGCCACAGATTCCATTATTAAAATCATTAAAAATCAACTCCACTTAGCAGGAATACATCTGCAGTCTATTCTTCCTCGTTTTACACCAGCTTCACTGCTCTGCCAAAGAACTGCAGTGGAACAAGGACGTTCTATTCCCTACAAACCCTCTCCAATGCCAGGCTGCATAAAACAACTTCAGTATGAAGTCATCTCTTCAAGCTGCACTGCTCTGAAAAACATCTTGAAAGCTAATCAGGAGTAGTATATGTGGAAAAGACAGATGGTCTTTCACCTTCATAGTCATGTAATGGCTTTAGTAGTCAACTACCTGCCTTGGGAGCATTTTAAGGCATCATACATAAAAATTATGCTGCCTTCAGAGATTAAGATATAATTATGTATGCCAAATTCTAAGAAATCAATGCATATATCCTTCATGGATATCATATGTACACATACATATTTAGACATTTTTGTACCAAATCATAGGGAAAAGAAAAAAATCCTAGTAGTCATATAACTAAGCTTTTTTTTTAAGATATTTTTTCTTTTGATATAATTATTTAGTCTAAATTTTATGGAATCGCTGCATGTATCCTTAATGCATATCATATTTTTTCATATTACAGTTCGATTTCACAATTCGAAAATATAACTAAGCTTTTTTTTTAAGATATTTTTTCTTTTGATATAATTATTTATATCTAAATTTTATGGAATCGCTGCATGTATCCTTAATGCATATCATATTTTTTCATATTACAGTTAATCTTAAATGTTAAAAAAATCTTTAAAAATCTTAGTCATAAAACTAAGCTTCTTGTTTTTTTTTCAAGAAAAATATAATTTATGATACTGAAGACTGAAGAAATGGCTGATGACTGATGAAAATTCAGCCTTGCCACCACAGGAATAAATTATATTTTAAAGTATATTAAAATAGAAAACAGTTATTTTAATTTGTATTGATATTTCACAATATCATTGCTTTTACGGTTTTGTTTTGTTTTTTGCTCAAATAACAAAACTTCTTAAAAAAAAAAAAAAAACATTAAAAGTCTCTTTTGATTACTTTAATGCGTCCTTGGTAAATAAAAGTATACATTTCTTAAAAAACAAATACTGACCATAAACTTTTGACTTGTAGTGTATATTTCATTCAATATTGGAAAGTACAGATTAAAAATTCTTCATGAATTTAACCAACTCATTAAAAAGAATCAGTTCAAAGAGCAATTTGAAACTCACTTCACTATTCACACATCTTTTGTTTCCCAATCTTTCTCGGTCGTCACATTCAATTCAGAAGACAAGCTCACAATGCAGCTAAAACATGCAATAGTTTTGCCGAGGAACCATAGATTAAGCAGCGGTGCAGGAAACCCTCATATTCACGAGCTGTGACATTCATCTCTCTGACTGCATCGGTCTGCTTCGCTCTCGTTCCTACAGTTTGAAAGTTAGACGGGGAGCATGATTGGTGCAATTTCACAGCTGGCCACGGTCACCCTGACAACCATATCCCAGAATAAACCCATCGCTGTGGAAAGAGACGGCGAGCGAGAGAGGACGACAGACTGGCCCTCAGGAGGAAGATTATTAGCACAGCGTGAAGAGAAACTAATGTTGTTATACTCTCGAACCTGATCAATTTACATAAGAGATGAAACACAAGAGGATGAAAAGTGACATTTCGCTTCATGAGCAGCGGATTACTGGAATCACAAGCAAATCCTCATCACCAATATCAAAAGAGGGATTTCTCTGGAATCAGGATTGCCCTACAAAGTACAAAAAAACTAAATAAACAAGCGCAACTATACATAACTACTGCAGTGACATTTGATGAAGGTTGACAAAGTCTGAAAGTATGTCACAAATGTCTAGAATTTTGCTTGTCATGTGTGGAATGTGGAAGTGAACTGTTTATTATATTCCTAGCAAAGGCAGGGCAGTTTATTGAATACTTTAAATTTAGCCATTAAAATAATCTCTTTTTTTAAAGAAATTAATACTATTTTTAAGAAAGGGTGCATTAATTTGATCGAAAGTTGACAGTAAAGACATTTATAATGCTAAGAAATATTTCTATCACAGCAGCAGAATAGGTTGTCAGTCCTGTATTTGAGTCTTTAATACGGTTACGTTCACACACAGTACGGTTATTTACAGGACTCACAACCGCGTTCTCGGGACACACGCGCTGTGTGAACGGAACCGGACTGGACATCTAGTTGTGTCAGTCCTGTATTTGAGTCTTTAATACGGTTACGTTCACACACAGTACGGTTATTTACAGGACTCACAACCGCGTTCTTGGGACACACGCGCTGTGTGAACGGAACCGGACTGGACATCTAGTTATCCGTCACGTCATACAGTGCGAGAGAGAGCCGCTCTGCTTCAGAAACGCTTGTTTACAGTGTGTTACGTGTTTTCGGTAACTTACAGTGACGGAGAAATGAGCTGCGTGTCATCTGAAAGTTTTAGATCCCGTCAGTTTCGTGTTCTGCGCGCGATTCAAATGCTCCGCTCTCCACCCAAATTTAAAAGCTGCTGTTGGTTAATGAAGATTTGACTAAGAACTCGCGGCTCGATTGGACTCTTGTCGTGTCAGAAGTGATAAAACTTTCAGTATTATGGACGTCGCCATCTTTGATTTTACTTTGGTCACTGTCGCTATGGTTACTGGTAAGGAATACGGGCTTAACGCCCGTTGCACGTTCATACAGACAGTGTTCCAAATGCAACTGCAAGCTGCTCTGTGAACGGGACATTTCGAGACTCACACCTGTAAGTAAATACGGTTGTCAATCCCAAAAACTGAGTGTGAACGTAGCCTATATAAATAAATGTTGTTCTTTAGAACTTTCTATTAATCAAAGAATCCTGGGAAAAAAAAAATCATGAAAAAAAAATGTATCACGTTTTCACAAAAATATTAAGCTTTCAACATAAGAAATGTTTCTTGAGCAACAAATCATCATATAAGAATTATTTCTGAAAGATCATGAGACACTGAATTCACATAGGAAATGTAAAATTGTAATAATATTTTACAATATCAACTGTTTTTACCATATTTGGTGAACAAAAGAGGCTTCTTTCAAAAACAAAAACAAAATATTTTGGGAAAATCAACCAAATAAATGGTATATAATTGACTCCGTATATTAAACAAGGATACAAGACAAATTTTTGAGAACATAAACGGACACTCAGCATTAAAGAGTTGTCATACCGAGCTTAGGGAACACAATGAGGTATTCAGCATTGCATTGTGGGCAGGCAACGCGTGCGGTGCTGTTGCCCCTCTGTTTCTCATCAACCCAGCGCTGAAGACACGACTGATGAACCCATTTAGTTGAACCACGGCAGCGGCACGGACGCACCCACTCCGCCGTACTAAAAGTATCAAGGGACAGTCTGAAAAAAAGAAAAAAGAAAGAGAGGCAACTGCAGCAGAGTAATATGGGTCAGTGACTAAACACAAATGAAACAAGATTATCAACTCCACCTCAAACGACAAACAAAACATGTTATCATTTTAATCTCACTGTCATTTTTTTCAACAACCCAACTGTCCAGACCATCATGCTCAAGATAAAACTTGTTTTATATACTAAGGTCTTAGTAAATGAATTACAATGTCAATTACTCAAATTATCACAATTGCATGCTCATTCACATATCAGCATTTTTGCTAAGAAAAGCCCACAAATTAAGATCATTTATAGACAAAGTTAAATTGTTTTATTTAATGTGTTTTTGGTGAATTAATTACATAATATGCCAATTAATTACTCAGAAAGATGCCTAAATGCATTTTTTGATTTGTTGTCCAGCATGACAATGACTATGTCTAATGATGATCCTTATCCATGTCAAATCTCTCAGTGTTTCTGCGCTGCTGGATGAGGGATAGAGACTCGCCGTTCTCTCAGGTTCCTGTGCGAGATTTTCCATTCTGGCAGTTTTTGAATAAAACATGAGGGATGACGAAGAGGCGCTCAGGTGACCGCGATCAGTCGTGTGCTCCTAATCATGAACCTCCTGTAATCATCTCAGGACTATCAGATGACAATCACAGACCCAAACAAGAAACAACAGATTTGTGCTTTTATGCACTTCAACTTCTTTAAAACATGCCCTGATCTCAGTTTAAATAATATCTGAGTTTAATGCACAAAGATATCTTTCAGTGCTGATTGTGTGTTAAATCAAGCATATTGGTAGCTGAAAGCACAAGCGCATTAAGACAATAGTTCAACAAATTAAAAATTGCTGTACTCACCCTCAGGCCATGTAGAGTTTGAATGATTAATTTTGAATAATTTGATAATTAATGAAGAATTTATAACAAACATGAGTTTTTGCTTCATAATTGTTGGACTGGAGTCGTGTGAACTACTTGTGGATCATTGTGATGTTTTTATCAGCTGTTTGGACTCTCATTCTGACGGCACCCATTCACTGCAGAGGATCCATTGATGAGCAAGTGATGTAATGCTACATTTCTATAAATCTGTTCCCAACTCATCTACGGCCTGGCCTGGAGGGGAGTACATTTTTGCAAATTTGTAATTTTGTGGTGAACTATTCCTATAAAAACACAAAAGCACAAAATATTTAGTTAAAAAAAAAAAAGGTTGGAAGATGTGTAAAATTTTTGGGAATGACAAATTACAGAACTAGAAAACTCTTTTTACGATAGAATCTGAATGTATGATTCTTTCTTGAAAGTGACTATCATAGATGACGAACAAAAGACCAGAAGCAATATAAATAGTGACGAAATTATCAGAGATCTTCACAAGATCAGAGCTACAAAGACGGTTGTCCATGTTCCTAAAGAACCCGCATCTCCTGTTCCTGTAACACTGCCTCCATCATGATAACCATCGTGAAACACAATCACCCCCGTGAAACCCAAGCCATCTCGCCATCGCCCCTCACTCAAACACACTCATGTAACATGGATTTACACACTAAGAGCTGTGTTCATTAAGATGCACTGTGAAAGGTCAGACAACCCGATTATCAGCCAATAAACAAGGTAAAACAAATTGTGCTGTGAAACACAATCTGATTTAGGCTTGTTTGCCTTCACTCAACGGGGGTAAAGTTTCAAACTACAGGCTATATTATCCACAGTAAAATACAAACAAGATATGACATATGATAGGATGAGATTTTTGTCTGTTTTGTGGGAGAAAAACCATTCACAAATACGTCATAATTCTTTCAATAACAGTTGTGCTTTAAACCACAAATAAATTAATTAATTTAAATTAAATTAAATACTAATAATATTTTTAGCATTTAGATATACTGCACAAATAACAAACTACTAATGAAATTATTAGACAATTTTCCCATTCATTTTTAAAGGAGTGGACCATTTCCCCTTATAATGCAGGCTGGTTATGCTTTTTTTCTTTTCTTATTTGTAAATTCATGATTCTCTGACTCAAAATCAAATTATACAGAATAAAACTGTGAGGAGGCATTTAAAAATTCCCAGTCATAATATTTTGTGGCCATGCAAACTAGATCATAAACCTTGCTCTTGCTGGCTTCTGTTCATTTTTACGATGATAACATAAACAATACGCTTATTACAGCACCATATCTCCACACATGCAAACCAAACAACTTGTGAATAATAAGGCTAATAAAATGTTGACTTTGCCCAGCTGAACAACTGTGATCACATTCTGTCCACTGCTGTAAGTGAAGACACATGACAGAATTACTCTTCAGCAGCACTGTTTGTGATAATATATATGATGCTTAAAATATCTCCAATATACCGGACCATTTCCCATTAAAGGGGTCATATGACGATGCTAAAAAGAACATTTTCAGGAAACAGTCTTCCATAAAATGCGTCACACACGACGGGCTTGAGTGAGCGGAGGCCGGCGGCCTTGAGAACGGCGCAGCCGGCGGGAGTGCGGCAACCACATGTGACGACCCTGGGCTGGACTCCGCTTCGTCCACGGTGAAAGCCAATCCGGCGATCCACAGCGCGAAGTTGATGTATTTCCTCAGCAACCAGCACTGATCAGCTCTAGGCATGACGAAGCAGATATCGTCCTCTTTTGGAAGGCCAAACAAAGTAGTTTCGCTTTCACAACTAAACACACAGCATCTCCACAACATGGCGCCGGTGGCAACAACAATACTACAACAAGAATCAAAGTTATGCCTTCTTTCTTTGCGTGAACATTTGGGCTGTTATGCAAATCTTCCCACACAGTGACGTAGACGTGTTAGAACGAGCCGTTTTAGGAGGGCGTGGACAAGTCTTAACTTTTATAAAGAATATCTCTTTGGATTTGAGACTTTAGTCTTTGCAACTTTACAGATCTTAATTATGTCCCCACTGGATGCAACGAATGCCTCGTTTATAATGGGTTTTCATGTTTTTGAATCATCGCTCCGGCCTGACAGGGCATCGGCTACTATTTCACACAGGATGAGTTTTCATGAATAAAGTGGTTCATTTTGCTAGTGTTGTTGACCGACGTTGCTTTAAAAACAGGAATAAGTCTGTGAAAGTTTAGAAGCTTCCTCTTGGCCAGATAATGTGGAAGCATTAAATGTCTACTGTTAAACACTGAGCAAAACTCTTCAACAAACCTCAGACTTTAAGTATAAGAAATAATATTATTGAAACATTGAAAAGAAGACCAACGGTGTGATTCACAAAGTGTTACATAGACAACCTCTCCTGCATGTTCTCATTGCTACACAGGTCAGACTGCATTTAAAGAGGCATTAAAACCTCGGCACAATGAGTTTATTCATTCGGCTGTGGTCATGTGACTGTGGGAACCTGAATGATCTTCCAGCCAACAGTCAGTGAGAGAAAGTAGCTGAGCATCAGAGGAACCGCTGAGATCCCAGACGTTTCTACTGATACAGATAGGGCTGCAACGGTTAGAAAATTTTGCATGGAAATAAAGCAGCATATAAACATCCCTGTGTACCAACATTAAAGCTGTAAGGCCAGCTACTTTAAACTATTAGAACCATTATATGATAGATTGTGAATAGTTCACAGTTGGTGCACCAGTCGAGCACTAGCTACATTAGAGTTCATGTAACTTCAGTCACTGTTTTCCAGTAACACCAGTCATCTTGAACTTGTGGTCTATATTTGTTCTTGAGGAGGGGTCAGATGTGGCCTACTGCTGATCCATAAACACACACACACACACCAACAAACCTCAGACTTTAAGTATAAGAAATAATATTATTGAAACATTGAAAAGAAGACCAACGGTGTGATTCACAAAGTGTTACATAGACAACCTCTCCTGCATGTTCTCATTGCTACACAGGTCAGACTGCATTTAAAGAGGCATTAAAACCTCGGCACAATGAGTTTATTCATTCGGCTGTGGTCATGTGACTGTGGGAACCTGAATGATCTTCCAGCCAACAGTCAGTGAGAGAAAGTAGCTGAGCATCAGAGGAACCGCTGAGATCCCAGACGTTTCTACTGATACAGATAGGGCTGCAACGGTTAGAAAATTTTGCATGGAAATAAAGCAGCATATAAACATCCCTGTGTACCAACATTAAAGCTGTAAGGCCAGCTACTTTAAACTATTAGAACCATTATATGATAGATTGTGAATAGTTCACAGTTGGTGCACCAGTCGAGCACTAGCTACATTAGAGTTCATGTAACTTCAGTCACTGTTTTCCAGTAACACCAGTCATCTTGAACTTGTGGTCTATATTTGTTCTTGAGGAGGGGTCAAATGTGGCCTACTGCTGATCCATAAACACACACACACATTCACTCTAAATCTCTCCCCTGTGGTCAGAGTCACAAGACCCATCCACAAGATCACGTTTCACCAGCAAATGTATAAAGCCAGGAGGAACACATATTCATACATCATGTAGAATTATCGCCATTTCTACAAAATGTATATATCTGTTTTAGTGCAATAGTAAGTCACATTTTGACTGAACAGCTATAGTTGCTTATAACTACATTTATATTTGAAATCCTGACAGCCATTTCCTGTTAGAAAATGTGAACAATCACTGTTGAATTCACCTAGCATCGGCATCAGTTTTGCACATATTTAGAAAATGTTAAAATCTAGCAATTTATGGAAGCCATATTTTCTTGCAATTTTGAGTTTATATCTCACAATTCTGACTTAATAGCGGAATAAAAAAAGTCACAACAACTACTTTTATTTCGAGGCAAAATAAAACAGAATTGCGAGATCTAAACTGAAAATTCAGAGAAAAAAGTCAGCATTGCGAGATATAGGGTTGCAAAGGGGTGGAAAATTTCCGGTAAATTTCCGGAAACTTTAAAAAAAAAAATCCCTGGAATATTCAAAAGAATCCTGGAAAGTTTCCAACATTTCTGGAATGTTTCTGAAATTTACTGG